CGCAATTAGTTAACAAAGTGTGCTAAGTATTAATTTTTGTGATGATATCTTCTTGTTGCTATCTTCCACTCGTTTGCAACTATTAAATTTATGTTGATTTCTTCAATAACATGATCAATGAATGATTTCTTGTTTCACACTGTTCAGAAATAAATGAGCATTTTAAAATGTCTACTCTTTTAATGTATTTTTACCAATAAATAATTTTTTGTACTTCGCAATGTTATATATTATTAAAAATTCGATTTCATACTTTTTTCTAAACCTGTCTCGCCAAAAGAGAAATTTTTTACTGATTTTGAGCACTGAAATTTCAAATGTCAGAAAAGAACCTTCTTCAAAATTTCCTCTATGAATGCGTCGTTTTCTTGTTCAGCAATCGCGGGGGTGTTATGCAGCATACATTTCCTTCCATAATAAAACACAATACAATACAACAGCAACTAACATTTCAGCAGTATCGTCTTTTTCAGAGTCTGGAAGGGTACGCTGATATACAATCTACTAGGCGAAACGCTTCAATGACACTTACAAAAAGACGAAAAACTCTATGGTAATTACATGAACAACAGCTTCTCGAAAAACTCATCGCTTTTTACGTGACTTCCAACGAGGAAGATTAGAACGGCTGATAATGGTCTCACGCGGTTGATGACTGCACCACTCCGCCTCAGAAATTGATGCGAACATACGGGGTCAGGTCGCGTATGACCACTGGGCATTAATCCCTGCTATTCATTGTAGGGTTCTTGGCACTTATCCAAAAGCCTCAAAAAATTTTCGCGCTGGTGTTTTAGTCTCCGTACAAGGATATTAACTTTTACTTCAAAATCGTTTCCGCTATGCTTTTGTATCCTATGCGTGCCTAGTGGAGTACTTTGTCTTAGTTTTCGCATGCCATCTAGGTGTTTTTTTTACGATTACACAACGGTCTGCCCGTTTCGTCAATATATTCATCTCCGCAATTATTACGAGAGATCAGGTATATCGTATCTGAACTCATGCAACCATAGTCTCTGCCGTAAGGGCAAATTACGCAATTTGTTGTCAAGCGAAACGAAGGACCCGCATGGTGTGGTGGTGAACGCGTTACTCTCCGGAAAGGACAATAGCTCGTTCGTTCCCCACCATAGACACCTGCGGTCCAAAGTTTTGCAAATATCTCAGCAACGTTGTGGTTGTATTTCGCTTAGTACCCTGCCGCGAAATTATAGTAGGCAGAAAATAAAAAGGTATAACATTGCAATTTGTTGTTTCACATAGACGGTCATACAAGCGGTTATGAACTAACCGACGACGTAGAGTATCCGGTGATGTTTCGACTATCGCTACCAATTCCTCTAGACCTGCCCTTCTTAAGAATCGTTTTATAGCTACGCTTCATCGCTGATAAAAGGCAACATAAACGGGACTTTTTTTGGGCAAGGGCTTCGTTTTGGCGCCTCGCTCTCCTTCTAAATCTATTTAATGTGGCAACTATTTTGTAGCCATTGGAGATGGCTATTTGCCGAGCCAAGTCGCGCGATTCTTCCCTTAGTTAGCTGGTTGTGCACACAGAGGTGGCTGTTCGAAACATGTTTCTCACAATCGCCCTCTTTGTGTGTGAAGGATGGGAAGAAAGGAAATGAACGAGGATATTCTTGTTACTTGGCTTTCGGCACCACTTTGTCAAGTAACCGCTACTTGATAGGTTTATTTGAACGTTTAAAAACGGAAGCCAGTTTTTTCTCAGTTTCTCCCGGATGAACTTTATGTACTGAGACTGCTCGTTCAATAATTCAAAGCATTTGTCCATCCTCTCCTGCATAAAGAAAATGACAAAACAGTTATTATCGTATTTGCAATACAGTAGTGGCCAGAGATCGAGAACAGGGGCTTCTATCTTAGACATAAACACGACGGCAAGGTTTGGTGCCAGTCGCTGTTCTATTGCCAACCCCCTTATTTGCGCGAAATATTTCTCAGACCATCTGCAAATCGAGCAGTTTAGGCACTCCTTTAAGACGGTCATTGGCTGCTGGATAGTCAAGTCATGCATATTTATTCTTTCTTCATGTTCAACAAGAAGTTCGAAGATGGCTTGCATTGCGGAGTCATTCGATACGTTGGTGTATAGCGAGGTAACGTCGAAGGACTTTATCACGTACGTGTTATTAGAAGACGCGTTACGTAGACGTTCTAGGAACATTTGGGTGTTTGTGAGGTGAGCTGGAATATGGTTAAGCAACTGGGTAAGTATCAGGCTTAAAAACCAGGTTATTCTATCCGTTAGCCCGTTTACACAGCTAATGATGGGTCTAACCTTAAATGATGACGGATTGGTTGACGCAAGACCATCAGGTGATACCAACTTATGTGTTTTAATAAGTAGGTTAAAAACAAGAAAACAACGCATTTATATTCCAATGCCGAGGTTACTAGAAAGTCGATCTTAGGAACTGTTTCTTCCGTGAATTCAAACTCGGTCGCAGTGCAGCAGAGACGGCTCGAAACATTAGCGAGCTTTGGAGTGAGGGTAGTGTTGGTGGATCAACAGTGCGAATATGGTTCTTGAAATTCCAATCCGCTGATTTCGACCTCGAAGAAGGAAGTTCGCGGACGTCCCAGTGGACTTGACAACGATGAATTGAAGGCCCTGGTGGAAGCAAACACGAGAACAACTGTCCGAGAGCTTGCAGAACAGCTTAGGGCAATCATAGAAACAATTTCCATTTTCTTGAATCGCATAGGAAGGAGAAGAAAACTCGAAAAGTGGGCGCCTTACGATTTAAACGATAATAAAAAAATTGTTTTTTTGAAGTGCCGTCTGCTTTTATTCTGCGCATAAAAAGCGACGCTTTTCTTGATCATATTGCGACGTGCGAGGACAACTGGATTCTGTGCGAGGAGAACTGGATAACTGGCAACGTTCAGCTCATGGATTCTTCATGAAAACCAGGTTGGATTGCGATCAGACTCAGCACTTCCTAAAGCCGAAATTGTACCAAAAAAGGTTTAGGTGACAGTCTGGTGGTCTGTATCCGGGCTGATTCATCACAGCTTTTTGAATCCGGGCGAAACGACTACTGCAGAAAAGTATTGCCAACGAATCGACGAAATGCACCGTATACTCCAACAACAACGACCAGCATTAATCAACAGAATAGGACCAATCGTTCTCCACGACAGCGCCTGGAATCATGTTGTGGAACCAACGCTGCAGAAATTGAACGAGTTGGGTTACGAAACTTTGCCTCATTCGCCATATTCAGCACACCTCTCGCCTAGCTTCTTCAAGCACATTGGAAACTTCCTGCGCGAGAAATGCTTCACCAACGACGATGATGCAAGAAATGCCTTCAACGAATTCATCGCATTCAGAACTCCAAAATTTTATGCAATCGGAATAAATAAATTTGTCTTTGTCTGGAAAAAAAATGTGTAGCTTTAAATGGATTTATATTGGTAATTACAGCTCTGTTTAAAGCAAGGTATGACATTTTCAATAATACAGTTAGAAACGCCCATTTATTTGTGAACCTTTTAATAATAGTTACACGAACGTTGATGATTTATGCTCTAGAAGGAGTTTATATGTAATTTTTCATGCTGATCATAGATAAATTAGAAAGATAAGTTAGTCAAGCTCCAACTAAGAGTCGCTTAGCGACGCAGTGAAATGATATCTAAAACTGATTAGGAGTAGTGTTAGCGTGCTAAATAAGTCCATAGTAACCTGAACTGCTATGAATGAAAGGCTTCTTATTTTTTCAGATTTTTGGATTTCATAAAAGAAGTTTCAAGTTATGATAATATGGGGATTGCAGAATGTTCAGCCGAATTAGAATGTAAGTCGTTACTTTTTCTACGTTTCCTTTTACTCTTTTACTAAAATCGCATATATAACACATTCATGAGAAGGATGTGCTATCTGAAGACATCAGGGCTTTTTCTGCTAGGCTTGAAATTTAAATGTATGCATGAAATCTATTCAGGTGGTGCTGAAAATTATTCTGGGAATTAGTTCTGACTCAGTGTGGTAGTCTAGAACACCTTCGTTAGGCGTTCCGCTTAACATTATTGCTATCCACTGGTGCATGTTCTTCTCTTTTAGTTCCTCTCGAATATTTAATTTTTAGACGCTCATCAAGAAACACTGAAACGTCCTTTATTTCGGATAACGGTAAAGTTTTACTCTTCAGCTAAACATGTACATATAAAACTTCGTCTTCACAGCGCTTTCTCTTTCGAACCTGCGAAAATGTTGAGATTAAAGCTCCGTAGTAATTTGCAGTCACCAATAGGAGATTACTTCGAAGATTTCTCTGAAAAGTGGTTTCTGTCCTTCTAAACAGTTTTAACTGATTATTTAGTTCCTACTCTTTTTTATTGGTAGGGTTTATAATAGGGTATACTGTGACAAGGATCGATAGAACTAGCTGAGAGACAGGCGAAACGAAGGACTCGCATGGTGTGGTGGTGAACGCGTTACTCTCCGGAAAGGACAATAGCGCGTTCGTTCCCCACCGCATGCACATGCGATCCGGAGTTTTACAAATATCTCAGCATTACAGAACTTTTAAACAGTGTTTGAGTATGTGAGTATTTCTTTGAGCAACCTCAGCACCGCAAAGAAAAACCCACATCTATAACAAAACGAAAATGATTTCAACTGTTAAAACTACAAGACTTCGAATTGTATTATCCCAGTAGCTCCTTATCACCACAATGTATATTAAATGAAGATAACCATCACTACTAATAATCATTTTTCCACTAATTAGTGACGGAGAATGCACTGCGTGATGATAGTGATGTAGAAGATTATAAAGTTCGATGAAGATGGTGATAAGGATAATGGCGATGATGGTGATCAGCAAGACAACCGGGATTAACTTACAAAGCAGACTGCTTAAGAAATTTTTTTTTCGGCTTAGACAAATTTTCAAATCGATATCATTCATTTTCAATACATTTACGAATATTTACCGTTTTCTTTTGCTGTATTTTCTTTTCCTTCTATAAAATTTTTTTTACCTGTCCTACCTTCGAATAGAATATAGACATTCGTGTAAACGATAAACCTTTACTGAAAATTTTACTCATTGTGGCTGAAAAGAACTGATGTTTTCCGTTCGAACATAAATTTTTTACCTTCCAGTGCAACGAGTCGAACACAATCCGAAATTCTTCTCATCATCATGCGGATCCGTCGAGATAAGTGAGATACTCACCACTATATATAAATGTTTTTCTCATAATAGTTTTCAATAGAATACTAAAACGTTGGTGCTTCGAGCACAAACGCTAGCCATTTGAATCGAAAGGAAATCGTTCATTCTGGAAATACAGTGATGAAGAGTTTTCTTTTGTTATACACCGTCATAAAAGAAGAAGAGAAAAAAAGGCAAAAAACGAGAAAAACGAAGAGAGGAAAGGAAAGCAAACATTTCTTCAATTGAATAACACGAGGAGTGAGAGAGACACGAGAAATGAACATTTCAGATTTACAGTATAATTATTTAGTGCTTCTCAAATACGTGGTACCACCATTGATGTTGTTGTGTTTGATGGGTAATCTGCTAAACCTACTCATCTACAGTCTGTCGTATTTTGATGGTAGTAGTTCGGTGCATTTTTTACGTGCGAAAGCAATGTTCAATATGATTTTCGTTTGGTCTCGTCTTCTTGAGGTAAGCAATTACACTTAATGAACAACTCCTAGCAAGTTACAGAATGAGATCGACGTTTGCACATGATAAGAAACATAAAGGATAAAGGATAAAGCTATCGGCGTTGATAACTCCCTGAAGGATCGGCCATGTATTCGACTTCATTAATCATCATTAGAGTTGATTGACTTCATACCTGGCCTTCACAATGACTCGCGGTGGCCTACCCATGTATCGAGCCAGTGCCCCTATTCTCCCAGAGAAGTCTGGTACTAATTTGCCAACCTCTAGAGATAGGGGGCTTGGTGAGCCTGGAGCGCCAAATTTGATCCCGTGTTTATTGCAGGGCGCCTCCGAGCACTGAACCACAAACACTCGTTTCAAGATGCGTTGGAGGAAGAATTCTAATACAGATTTGTCAATGATTGTGCTCGAATTCGTAAGAGTTATTTGTAAAACTATTAGTAAGATATTGCGTAGATTACGCAATGCTTAGACGTTCACTGCAATATATTTACGATTTGGTTCGATCCCATGCACTGAGTTAACCCAGTCAGTCATGATCCCAGAGACGGCAAATCTTCATTAGAGTTGCCTAAAAGAATATTAACAATGACCTGATTCGTCGGTAGGCCACCGGAATTACTTGTAGAGGCCAGATTCACAGCAAATTATTCCTACGATGTGACAAATGGAATCGATTGCATAACGAATCCACACGAGGGATTTGATAACGTTGAACGCTTTACCCTTCATCTGCTCTATAAGTGATCGATATACCGTGACATTAACTATGTAGTTTAAAAGACTCCATAAAAAGACACTCCGACGACACATTCTAGGTAATCCACGCGTGGACTGAACCAGCACAGCAATGGTTGGAACCGTTATTTTGGCATTCGCGTTCCTACATTATGACTATATCAAACATAAGTGGAACAATGTCAACATGGTTTGTTCTTGTATACAATGGACTTTCAATTGTTTCCTAATGAAATTTCATGTATGGAAATTTGTCAAAACTGATTTTCTTGAGATTAGCTCAAAATCACGTAAACCTTTTTGGCGATGGAACTCTTTATTTAGCTCTTTAAGCAGTTTGTTTATTCCATCAATTTTGCAAAAATTTCACAACGAAGATATCATTATTCTACAACGATCTTAACATTGACGTTAAAAAAGGAGTTAGGCAAGGCGATACCATCTCGCCAAAATTATTTACTGCCACCCTCCAGAACTTCATGCAAACATTGGAATGGGACAACAAGGAAATGAAAGTCGATGGTCGGCAGTTGCACCATCTACGGTTTGCTGATGAAATCGTCTTTATAACATCAAACATTAGCCAAGCGGAGCGCATGCTTGACGACTTTGATAAAGCCTGTAAAAAGATTGGTCTTCGATTAAATCTCACAAAAACGATGTTCATGTGGAACGGATTGGTTTCGTATGCCCCATTCACGCTTAAAGGAACGAGTATCTCTGAATGCTCCAATTATGATTATGATTGTCTATCTTGATTGGGAAATCAACATTTTGAACGACTTAGCTCCAGAGTTAAGCAGGAGGAAACGAGCGGCTGGGAGAGCTTTCAAGAGCATCAAAGATATAATGAAGAAGACAAAAAACACTGACTCCGTGCCCACCCTTGCGACTCAACGGTGCTTCCTGCCCTAACAATGCTTCAGAAACCTGGTCTGCGTGAGCAGGATGAAAGGGCACTCAGCGTTATCGAACGCGCAGTCGAGAGGACAATGCTAGGACTAATCCGTTCCACACAAGTAAGGGATGAGATCCGAAGTTCTGATCTGCGTCAACGGTCAAAAATCAAAGATCCCGTTCTGTTCGCCAAGCAGGCGAAGATAAGATGGGCAGGACACATAATGCATATGAATGACAACCGATGGACAATAGCCGTTAGTGAATAGATTACTTGGGATGTCAAACGTACTGCAGAAAGACCACCGACCCGATGATCAGAGTTCATCACAAAGAGCCTGGAGGAAAGATATGATGCAAGATGAATTCCTAGAGCCAGCAGAATCCTCTAGGCTACTTTTGCACGCGACAGGGAAAAAGGGAAAATTTACTGGCGCCCGCCCGAGTCACTCGAAGATCAACGGGGCTACAGGTGACACAGGTGTTTTTTTTGCGACGTCCTTGTTCTACCATTAACTTTGGCTGGCTTGAAGTTTGTAGATGTTTTTAGTTTCTTTTGTGATAACACGTGCAAATTTTTCCAAACTTTAATAGCAAAATATAAGCATTCTAGGTCTAATTAGGCGAGCTTACACAAAAGAACTATGTGTGTTTTTTACTAACACCTACGTGTCAGAGCAAGCTACGATCTGATGAAAGATAGTAAAGAGATGTGCTCCCATAGAGATACTACCGCATGCAAATTGATTCAGTGTATCTCTCGAGGGTGTTATTTACGCAATGAGTTGGTCGAAGTTTAGAATGATGCTGAACTCCAAAGGGAATTTTAAAATATCGAAGAATTTATCCCGCGTGGTCGTTGAAGAAATGGACCTCAGCAGTCAGGTTTCTTCTAACTTTTTTTTAACACCTGCTTTTTAAGGCTTACCCTTATGGTGACCGTTGAAACTGTGATGTGCGTATTGATGCCCTTTCTATTTCGTCAGTATTGCACTAAAAGGTAACTGAATACAATATAGATATGGGAATTCTAAGCACCTCACAAAGTTTTGCTAAATACATGAACTTTTAGGACAACGTGGTTTTTTTTATTAGTCACTCTGTCGTTGTCTACCCTTTTACATTCGACATTGGTATTCACAACTGAAATCGCAATGCATCCACTAGCTATTACAGAACATACACTGGGAAAGGTTACTTTTCTTATCATTTGTGCTATTTGAAGACCTATATGGAACCAATCAAGGAAGGCAACCCCGTTCGGAAGTGGTCGCGGATATTTTTGATGTTCAGTTTCTTTAAGTACGATTTTTCTTTTTTCTATGATCAAGACTATAAACTGTTGAGCCAAAAAATTGAGCGATCCGTGTTGAAGAAATTAGGACATGAATAAGAAAAGATGAGAAGAAATAATTAACATGATTGAAGTGGTGAACAATTTTAGGTGAACTCGACGTGCTGGTATGTTCAGAACATGTATGTGTTCATGATCCGTAGTAATAGCGCTTATGACGTGATCCAGAAGATCTACTATTGGATACAAACTGCATTCGCCATTATCATCCCGACGATTGCCATGCTCGTTTGTTCGATTCTCATCGTGAACCAATTCACATTCAAGGTCCGTTCTTGAATTACTAACTGAACAACAACGTCAATCAACAACCAATTTTCATTCCCATTACTTCTTTTGCTGATCTAATTCAGAAAAGTAGTGTTCTCTGAAGAAAGCCAAAAATGGCAGATTGATGAGTACTGCTTAGTTTTAAATGTAAGCAAAATTACAACGAAAATCTCTTTTGTTTTCGAAAATCTCCCTAAATACGATGATTCGTCGACCATGAGATGAATGCTCACACTTTTCTCTATAATGCACTTTAGATTTATTAAGCATTAGAGGTTGTTTCGTTAAATAGCGTCTACAAAAATCCACAGGCAGTGTATCTGTTTTTTAACTACTATAAAACCTTTGATCGCTAAGTGAATAAATGAGGTCTGAAGCAAATGTTTACGCTAATAGTGAGTTTGGTTACCCTGAAGTAGGAAAACCTACTGATAGTAGTAATCACAAAACTCGTAATACATCTATCATAAGTAAAATTTTGGTGTATCTTCTTACATAACGTCATTAAACAGATAAAATCTAAGAATGACGATTTGTAAAAGAAGAATTGTCTTTGTTGCCCAAATTCCTCCGAAGTCCCTGAAACCAGCGAAAACATAGAAAACATTGGCAAACTGCTGGAAGATATTGCATTCTAATCTTACTAAATCTAGTAAAAACGTTAAAATTTTTACTGCATTTAGGAGCTTGGTGAAGCATTTTCACAACGGAGAAAATGTGTTATACGAATGACGGTGGCCACCACTGTCTCTCATCTGCTACTCGAGGGTCCGGCTACGTTAACGCATGCAGCCGTGGCGTTAAAGGTAATTATTGGAATTTATAGTTTTTAGGATGATTGTTATTATTAACAATAGCCCTTGGTAACCATTATACTTTTGATGACCGAGTAATTCAACCGAGTTGGACCGTTTTTCTTTCAGTAACCAAGCTAATTTTTCAACTTAAAATTTTTCCTTGCCAGACTTCTGACGTTGACTTTCACAATCACTGCTTCCCTACCATTGTTGGATTCTCCCGAATAGTTCGATAGGTATCAATGTGCTCAATAAGTATATTTCCTCGAAAACGCAGTCGATGACATAGTTTCTTTAAGTAGATTAGTGTCATGCGAAGCATGCGATTAAATAGTCTGGAGTAAAACGTGAGAGCGCAACATCGGCTTCGGTTAGAGGAAATTGTTGTTTCATTCGTTATGTTACACTTCACCGACAGACTTTAATGTCCAACGTTGAAAGCTAGACTTGAAGAATTGTGAGCTGCCATGAATAGTCTGGTTTAACGCAAAAACTCGTGCAAACGCTAACCCTATTCGTTCTATTCTAAACCATGACTCCCGATTAGAAGTTCTCCGGACAATGTTTTCGCAGCTAATGCGGCTAAAGTCACCAGTGATAGATTTGCAGGAGGTATGACCCTCTCCATGAAATTCATCCCATTACATAAGAAATTCATCGATCTCACTTTCATGATACCTTAAAGTTGAAGGATAAAAGAATAAAAGTGATAAAGTATTCAGCAATGATCAATTGTATTAAACATTCTTAGAAATGGCTGAATGTGTATTTGGCTTGATAAGTTGTGGCCTGAGGTGTCCTATCGATTTATCAAGTCAGTGCTGATATCCTCCCATACAACTCTAGCACCAGTTTGTCTCCGGAATGGTGGAAGAATCGGCAAACCTTAGGTGCGGATCGGACCAAAAGCCTCGTGTTCGCCTCTAACCGCTACACCACGCGCTTCCCTTATGTTGAGGGATAAACAGTGGAAATTGTCAAAGTTGACATTGTTCCACATGTTTTCGGTCATAATCGTCTAATTCGTGTAGTTAATAGCTCGAAGGCTTGCTCATGGCTGGGCTCATTTTTATTTGAATTTTAACTTTATTGGTTTATCTACTGTGAAGTATTCAAAGGAAGGTTTTTCCCCATCATCCTTAATGACACCTCGCTGCCTGTGTTTTCTCATCCGCTCTAATGATGGTATACTTTTTTTAGCCTGGAAACCATTTCTTCGATGGAAGCTTACCATTATATAACACTTGTACATGCAGACACGGAAATAATAATTTTGGTGGTGCAATATAGTCCTAATATAGCCTTAATATCTCTTTGTAGCCTTTTCCAGAGCATCCTACACGGCTTTGCCCGAGATGATGCACTGAGGACAGATTAATGAGGGCGATTACCTTACTTTCTTCAACTAGAGATTCTCATGCATAGCTTATTAGGCTCTATCGTGGGATTCGACTTACCATGTTGTTGTGCTCTCCTCAAATAGACAAGTAACTTATTTGTTGGAGACGGCTATGTACCGGCTCTTATGTAACTATCACTCGCTTGATTTGAAGTTTTCAATGTGATCAATGTTCAGGATACAATGCGCGTCAACACAATCTTTCCCACGCTTGTTCTCGCAATGACGTCCACATTAGTGCACGAAGTAAAAGTCAGTAAGATGTAACATTTGATGTGAAGAGGGTCCAATTCCTGAATCAATCTGCGTTTCACCCTGAGTATATAGTAGTTTTCCATCAACACAGTATCAATACGCCACGTGTGTGGTAGCGCGGTGCATTGTATCCCTGCAAACTGTCTCAATATGCCCCATATGAGTCAGACTTATCGGAAAGAACGATAGCAGTAGCATTGCTAACATTATAATATTGTTAATATCACTGTTATTATCAATATTAAATTGGTAATAGTGGGAATATTTTTGACGACTTCTAGGGTGCATCTTCGTCAGAACATCATTACATGATGTGCGTTTTGAATAATGCTATCAATATCCTCTCAATCGTTAACGCGACTATACCATTCTTTGTATTTCTCTTGTGTAACGAGCAATTTCGACACATGACAGCCATGTATTTACGAGTAAGTCCATTCGTTTTACTAATGAATACTTGCTCTGGTTACAATTTGCACCACCAATTGAAAGCGGGTGAATTTACTGGGAATGAGGCCGTGCTTTAAAGGATGGGCGACATCCTTTTCGTTGAAAAGGTTACCCCCAAGTTGGAGAGTCTTCCTTGGTTTATTTCTATCTTACTCTGAAATTCTCGGAATGCTCATTGTTTTTCCATGACGCTACTGTTGATGTTGTTGTTTGTGATGACGGTGTTGCTGCTGTTGTCACTGTTCTTGTTGTCGCAGTTCTCTTTTTTATTTTTGTTGTGATTGTGCTAAGATTGCCTCTCTTTAGTCTACTAACATTCAACCGCTTCTTCATGTTACCCTTTGCTTAAAGTCCTCCTTATGCTGTCGTTTTAAGTGGATGTTTTCTATCCGATCTCTTAACTAGAATTTTTGAAATAACGTCATCCGAAATCGTGCACTAACAGCTTCGTCTGGTTTTCGACCACTTAAGGGAATTAAATTATTAACTGATGAAGAGTGGGGTTTCAAGGAACAACTAACGTGCCTTTAGGTCTTTGTGTATGTGTGCATGTATAAATGTATGTATGTGCCTGCTTATCTATTGTATGTATGTTTTTTTGCAGCATGAAAACAGAGCACAGCGCACAAGCCGTTCACTACCTCATTCCTAAGATTCCATTTTGTTATTTCTTATAAAATATAAAAAAATTACAAATCCTGGAGTTGGATGGCTTTTACAAGAACACATTTGTTATTCGTTTAGGCACACATGCAAACGAATAGCGCTCGAAAGAAAACGTATCTCTCTCAAGCTGGAATGAGATGTTCACAAGTGTCAAGAATGGAAACGGAGCGGTCATTCATTGAGAGGCGATTGCATCCCAATTCGTCTAATCTCTAAAAAAACATCAATAGCCCTAATATTAAGAAAGATCTTCTTTGTCTTATTAATGTTTAGTGCTGCAAAATTGTGTTCTGTACGTTGTGTAGGTTTCAAAGAGAAGAAGAACAATGAGTTTTTTTAGCACATTTATTAGACAACTTCTCACGAACACATTTTTCGCGGGTTTATTCGTATATAAGCACTTGTGTAGATAAACTGTGCATAGATATGGATGCATTCTCTTCCTCTGTCATAGCATTTCAACGAATCCTAGAGCTTGCGACAAGGAGCACTTTGAAGGTTGGCTTGATTGATTATTCGATGTGTGGTCGGATATTGTGTAATACAATATGAGCAGAGTATTTATGGATTATTACAGGACTCTTTCAACCAAACCATTCGTTTCGTATTATTTTCGTACGTTTTCTCTATAGCTTTGTTCGATCTCTATATTTAGAATGAATCAACGTCAACAGTAACATAACAATCAAACACCAATAATGAAATCATATCGTTTGAAACCTGGTAGAACAACGACCCCAGTGGTGATTAGCTACGAAAAGAATCAATGTTCGACAAAAATAGTTCTGATGAAAATAAACTCTTAGAATCATCTTACAGATCAATATGAGATTTGTTGTAGTCGGATCACTGCCGAACAGCTTCTGCAAATAACTGGCGAGTCGCGAAAAACAGCGGAAACTGTTTGTCGTTCGTTCTGTAAAAGAACTCAAAGAGAGAACCACATTACAATTCTGTCACAATTTAAAATTGTTTCATAATTGTACATCGTCAATAACAAACTGATTCTGTTTCAATATTGAAGAAGAAAAAAGTGAGACAACATAACGAGACGAAGACAGGCGTCAGACACTGCTTTTAAAATCAACCAACACTCATAATAATGAATAATCCAAAAAATTAATCCAAATCCAGTCCAACCGTTATTGATATTGATTACTTTTGAGATCAAGGCGGATAACACAGTGGTAGTGATATCCGTTCTTTATCACGAGCATAGTGATAGTTCGATTTTTTTCTAAGCCTAAGGAATTAATGTTCATTGGCTGTTGGTCTGGGCACAGTCATTCACATCTTCAGTGATAGTCATATCATTCGAAGACAGAAAAGAAATAATTAGGTGATGCACTAATGAGTTTATTATTAGAAACAATTCAGAAATGATGGTCAGTATTGGTGAGTGTCATGTTTTGGATCGAAGAGGCTAGCCGTTGCCAACATTAATCTAACGAATGAATAAAGTTGAAATTCAAACGTAATTCATCTAGCGGACTTCCATTTAAACACACATAAATAAAAGTCTTCGAACCTACTTGAAATTCCTAGAATGCTAGTTTTTATAAGGGAGTACAGGAATTCTTCCGTTCCCAACATCAACACCATTAATCTTCAACGAATTGTTGTTCAATTCGACATACGTAAAAGGGCAGTCAATGAAAATCTTCTCCAGAAATTTCTTTTCTTTTTATCGAACACTACGCTCCATCATTTGTTCCTTGGTCGTTGGAAACCAAAATTCTCCCGGAGCAATTGTGCCGACCGATGTCTGGCATCGATTACCTGCTGTTTGTTGAGAATTCGCTTGACGATAATCTCTCGTCGTAATTTTCGTACTGCTATCGTTAACAATCTGAAAATGCACTACTACTTCACTTTTAAAACCTAATCAGTTTGTCTAACGAAATTAGATTGAAGCTGATGTCTACGTCTGCTGCATGCGATTCAAATTACGATATAGAATGTTGGATCGGCAGTTCAACAATAACTGGCTGTAATGACGCCTTCCTGGTTTGAGGTGCCCTGTAGTTAATGGTCGTTGGTACGATCCGACACCTTAGGACAAGCAATCCGCGAGAACTCTTGGTCTCAGAAATTGGTACGGGATTTGTCCAAGATGATGGGACCAATATGTTGACAAGCCAGTAAGCTTCCATTAATGGTCGTAGAGAACAAATATGTAATAAAAACACCTCTACGATGCTATGAGTAGCGCCGAAGATATGCTACATCCCTAGCAATTCACCAACGTCTAACGTCTTATCTGTTTTTGATTATTTCGCGACTAAAGTGAAAAACAAAGTGCTAGGTTTTGCGTAGGAAGAAAAAATTACCGTATTTCTCTATTAGTGATTATGCATGTCTCTTGCGTGTCAAAATCGACGAAGAGCATTATGAAGAGTCGTAATTCTGGCGGCAGCGCTCCCCAAAGTGCGAACTTCTGCAAAACGAAATCCTACCAACAACAAGTGGCACAAATATTCTTCAGTATAACTCGTATATAATGCTGAGATATTTTAAAAACTCCGGACCACAGGTGTATGCGGTGGGGAACGGATTGTATTTCGCAACATACCATGCCATTAAAAAGAAAAAGGCAGTAAATAAAAGGGTTAAGATTCTTCAATATTTTACTCGAAATTCTATGCTGACTTGTGAAATAGGAAAGAAATTGATATTGGTATAAAATGTTTGTTCGGGACCAAAAAAGCACGGCTACGCTCGGAAAGCGAAATCCAAGTAAGTCCGGATTGGCAACATAATTCAGAAAGTGCAAGAGCAGGTCAGAATTAAAGGGAAAATTAATACCGAATTAAATCTGCTACCGACAGTAAAGGTGCGTTTGTCTTAAATTCAACGGCTGTTTGCGGTTCATCAACTAATCAGTGATTCTCACCTCTAAATCTGACATTTAACGTGCCAAGGACGTTCGTAAGAAGCGGGCAATGTTCGTGAAGAGGGATGCGGTGTGACCAGTCTTTCACAGAAACCTCGTTTCCTGTGTAACATCCGCTGGGACTCAAGCGCTCGTTCACACAACATGCTAACTCTTGCTCTTCAACAAAGTTCGCCTCTGAAATGATTTTTGAACATAATCAGAGGACGATGTGTTATGTTTGCAGAAGCGAAGCTTTTAAAAATAGGCAACAGCTGCATTGAACAGAATTGTATAAAGAAGACCCGGTATCTAAACCTAAAATATGAAGAGAATATGCAAAAATGTTTCGTGGAAAGAAATATATATGAGGTAGCCGTTGCTAACTAACCACAATCTTTAAACTACCTACGACACTAAGTGTTGATTCTAATACATTCCCGAAATTAACTGTCCCTTCTAATTTTAACACGGGTTGCTGCGAACTTCAACTATTGAAATAAAAATCAGTGAAGTCATTGTGGTCTACCAAAATAGGATTTGACTTTCGTTGGCCTAAAAATCATCTTCTTAAATTTCTTTTCTACGTATCTCAATTTAGCCAGCGAAGCGATAGATTTTTTTGGAATTTTTCCAAACAAAACAGTTCCTCAAGACAAAAGAGTGTTGTGAAGCTCTTCACATGAGCTCCTTCTTTCATTTCTTGACAAAATTCCTCTGTGATATAAATGAGTAAAGAAAACTCGTTAGTGATATATGAGCAAGTTATACTCACAGAGCATGGTGAGAGATACTTTGCGAAAATTAACGTCATTCCTCTTGGAGTAAATTGGTTGTTTTAATCTTAATTTGTCTATCACTCTTTAGGCTTCACACCACGTTAGTGCAGGCTTGTTCAAGAATATATTCTCAAGACGAAGTTAAGTTCCACCGCAAGCCTTAGTTAAGTGTAAGAAAAGGTGAGGAATTAGTAGTGACCTCAAAGAAAACAAATCGCAAGTCAATAAAGAAAGCAATTTCGGTCATAAAACCAATAAAATGGGGCAAATAGTTTCGCAAAACGTCGTGACAACATCATATAACTTCGAAAAGGGAAGCGCTATGAAACTGAAGAACTATCGTTGAGATAAAAGCATTGCTATGATTCATGCGATTAATAAACCAACACTATCGAGTTGTTAAAGCTCTGGGTAAATAAAATTCTTTATGAAGGCAGAGTGTTTTCTAGAATGCAAATTGTTGTGAGGCAAGTGCTTCATATCAGCATTGATCAAAACAACGTCAGAGTTTCGTCCCCACATTCCAGTTATATAACACTTGGCAAGAGTTTATTCAACGTTCAAAATGAATTTTAGTAAAAACCATTAGACATTTATTAATGCGTAATGGATGTTCTGTAGCAAAAGAAGTGAAGAGAGATGTCCTAACGTTTTCTATTTCTCACACTTTCATCTACAAAACCATTACGATCACCTTTCAAAAAAAATCACAAATTGTGCTGGACGTAACACTTTACCCTTTAGATTTTTTATCCCATGTTCTATGGTGTTACCTGCTACGGGCATGATGACGTGGCACCAGTATATCACATTTCGGTCTATAAAGCGTTTCGCGCTTGCGAATACAGCTTACTAATGTTATACATAAGCAAGTTCGTCCATCTTGTAGGTGGTTTCTCTCATTTACACTTGAATGCTTAAAAAGACCACTCCACTATTTATCTCGGCAAAATGCTGTCAGCTGTTTCTTATTAGATGGTTGCCACAGTATTGTTTCGCTGTCTTTGTCTCTCCAAAATTGCGAAGATGCAACAACTTTCAAGGAGTTGAACAGCGGGATATGGTCAAATCTTTGTGCGCCAATTGAATCTTAGAAGTGATCGTGCCAAGGCGTTGATCATCAATTCGACGTAGTTAATGCCAACGCATATACCAGTAGGTTAGAATGGAGGTAGGAGAATCACTGAATCAAAAATTCATGAGAAAATTCCGAACCCTTTACCTGTTCGCCTACTTTTCTGCGAAATCCGAACGAGGCTAGTACTGCTCTCCTTCTTCTATATAAATCTTCCTTCACGTATTCCCTTATCTTTATTTTGCACACAAAGTAGGCTCACAACATGCTGTCTACAATCAGCAAACTATCCAGTCCTGTTCAAGAATTCATGGATTCGACATTCTTCCAATTAATGCGCATTCTAGTTGTTTTCCTATCTTCGTTAAGACGCTTTAAATATTATCGCTTTGCTTCACTGATGTTATGAGGTGTTAGTGATTTCATCAGCAAAATATGAGCTGGCTTGATAAAAATTTGCCTTTACTTTTCTCTGTATAGCATTTCTCTC